AGGTCATTCTTTGTGAAACGGAGGGAGTAATAAATAACCTATAATATATAGAAAAAATATTATGATTTTTATTTGAGAAAGGTATTAATAACCTATATTAATAATGAAGAAAAAAAGTATAACATTTACTATTTGAGAAATATCGTTACACCAATAATAAAAAATATGATTTATAGCAAAAAAAAGGGTAAAAAATAAAACTCCCAAGGCGTAGATTTTTACGCCCAGGACTTACGCTTTTATGCTTTGAGCTTATGGCCCAAACTCTAGGGTGTACGTCCTATGGATCTACGTCTTCAATTTGTGCCCCAAAACATTTTTGGTACGCCCTGCCCCGAAATTCGCCCCAAAAAAGTTTTTGAAAACACTTATGCAACTAATACAATTTTGTGTATATATTGTTTGAACAAATAAGAAAGTATATAGCGACTTGAAAATCATATTAATTAATCAATATTGTGATGAATTCGAGAAAGATATGTTCTTTACTTGCATAAAATTTTTGTACGCTCAGGCGCCAGATTTATAGGCTAATACACATGAAAAATCAAGAAAGTCGAGTAATTTTTAAAAGTTGACTTGTAATTGCGAAAATATGTCTGAAAAAATGATGGGGACTGTACGTAATGCTTCCCAGCTCATTACGGAGGTCACATGATAAAGTTTTTTCAGAAGTTATTTTTGGGTTCTTCGAGACGCCAGATCCATGGGCTAATACACACATAAAACCAAGAAAGTCGCGTAATTCCTAAAAGTGGGCTTGTAAATGTGAAAATATGCTTGAAAAACGATGGATTGTACGTAATGCTTTCCTAACTCATTACAGAGGTCTTCATAATTTAATTCAGATTTTTTTGGGTGCTTTAATGCCTACATCCATGGGCTAATACACGCGAAAAATCAAGAAAGTCGTGTAATTTCTAAATGTTTACTCATAATTGTGACAATATGCCAGAAAAATATGGTGAGATTGTATGTAATGCTTCCCAACTCATTGCAGAGGTTCTCACAAAGTTTTTTCAGATTTTTTTTTTTGGGTGCTTCGAGGCGTCAGATCCATGGTCTAATACACATAAAAAACTAAGAAAGTCGCGTAATTTCTAAAATTTGGCTCGTAAATGCGAAAATATGCCTGAAAAAATGGTGGAACTATACATAATGCTTCCCCCATTCATTACGAAGGTCCTTGTAAAGTTTTTTCAGAATTTTTTTTTTTGTGCTCGGTAGCGCCAGATCCATGGGTTTATACAATTGTATGTAATGCTTCCCAACTCATTGCAGAGGTTCTCACAAAGTTTTTTCAGATTTTTTTTTTTGGGTGCTTCGAGGCGTCAGATCCATGGTCTAATACACATAAAAAACTAAGAAAGTCGCGTAATTTCTAAAAGTTGGCTCGTAAATGCGAAAATATGCCTAAAAATGGTAGGACTGTACGTAATGCTTCCCCAACTCATTACGGAGATCTTTATAAAGTTTTTCTTGAAAAGGTTTTGGGTGCTCCGAGGCACCAGATCCATGGGCTAACACACACGAAAAAACAAGAAAATCGCGTAATTCCTAAAAGTTGATTCATAAATGCAAAAATATTCCTGAAAAAATGGTGGGACCGTACGTAATGCTTCCCAACTCATTATGAAGGCCTCATAAAAAAATTTCTAACATAAATGTTTGGGTCGCTAGAATCATGGGATATCAAGTTCATTTAGTAAATTTAGTATGTGTGTATACACCAAAAATACTAAAGTTGATGCTTTATCAAAGTTTTCAATATTTGCACTTTGCAGTATAACTAGAGTTTTTTTTGGAGAAAATGTGACAACGTTAACTCTTCAAAGAAAATTAACTACGCATATAAAATGTAACATATTTGAAAAAAATAAACTTATTTTCGTTTAACATTAAAAAGTTTTTCTTCCTCCCAAATCTAACTATTGGAAAATTAGAGTATATTATGTAATATAGTTAGAATTTTGATTATTTTTAATTTGTGGCTACAGTTTCACAAAATTTTAAATTCAGAATTTGTATAATTTGATTTTGGATTGTATAAATCCATAATTTGTATATGTTTACCCTAGCTATTTGTATACGATTTATGAAAAAATCATAATAAATTACCCTGTTTGTATATTGGCAAGCGGAATATACAAATGAAGTTATGAAAAATTCCTAAATGGATAAATGCAGAATTTGTATATAATTACCATGTTTGTGTATTTGCAAACAAAATATACAAATTGTAGCCTCCATTTGTATATATTCACCTTGTTTGTATATTCGCAAGTGATATATACAAACGGGTAAGTGAAATATACAAACCGCAACCTCCATATCAAACGGAACTATAGCTATAGAGCGCAATTACCAAAATTATAGCTATAGATCCTTATTATGTCATTATAATCTTTATTATTTCTGAAATTTTCTCAATAACTATCTCATGGATTTTCTTTCTAAAAAATTGTAATGTTAGCCCATGGGGTAGCTTCGACCCGCTTAAGGCTTATTGGGTTAGCGTTTTGGAAGCCCTTTTAGATGAAGGGTTGAATTGGCCTGGGCCAACCGTTTTGATTTGAACTTTTAGCTATATGTTGTGTTGGTCTTTAATTTTTGTCCCTCAAAATAAATATTTTTTTCGTGGGGTTCTCATTATACTATGGAGATTTGAAAAACTTATTAGAAAAAAGGGTAATTTGTCCCTAACAAATCTCTAATATGTTTCAAATCACACATTATACTTTTTACCATTTTATATCTATTTTATCATTTTATTAAGTATCATTCA